CAAATTGGACGTTCTCTTGAAATAGACACTCAAACGGGGGACGATGCTTTGACGGGCATTCGCAATCGTAGACATCTTGCCGAGCGGTGGGACAGTCTTGTTGCACGAATACGACAGATCGACGGGTTCTTCAATTTCTTGCAACCAATGACATTTGAAGAGTTGCGCGAACCCGTATTTCATGGTGGCACTCCCATTTTCCTGGTCGCTAGCAAATTCGGCTGCTCTGCGCTCATCGTGACTCAGAAGCACCCGGTCCGACATGTACCACTACCGGGCACCTCGCGCGATCGTCTGAAGAGTATAGCTCTCGTGCTGCACAAAGCTGTCAGCGTACCAAAGGACCAGCTCGGCACACAGTACCTAGAACGCCTCATCCGTACAATCATCAATGAGCTATGGAGGGATATTGTTGCGCCGATTTTGGCGGTGTTGTCCACCCTGCGCTTAGGCTCTCTGCCACGCGTGTGGTGGATACCCACAGGTCCTCTTGGTCTGTTGCCCATCCACGCTGCCGTTCCTGCCAATCCTGACGAGCCTGGCGCACCCGACCTCATTACCTCGTCGTATTTGGTTTTGCTGCAGAGTCTCGTGTGGTGCTACCGCAACATACGCGATCATAATCCTGCCAAGCCACGGCGCGTGCTTATGGTAGCCCAGCCCAAGGTGGACAACTTTGTAGCGCTCCCCTCCGTTCAAGAGGAACTCACGGGCATGCGCCAAGCTCTGCCTGAGGACAAGCTCATTGTTCTCGAAGGCGAAAGAGCAAACCTGGTCAATGTGACACGCGCGCTGGGAAAGGCGACCTGGATTCACTTCGCCTGCCACGGCCATCAAGAGCAAGGCAATCCGCTCGAAAGCTGCTTGGTTCTTTCAGACGGAAAGCTCATGATAGACAGCATGATCGCGAACCGGTTCGAGAACGCCGATTCGTTCGCTTTCCTCTCCGCGTGTCATACCGCACGCGGATTACCCGAGCTTCCGGACGAGATGCTGCACATCACTGCTGCTCTCCAGTGCGCGGGATTCGGTGCGGTCGTCGGCTCGGCATGGGCAATAGCGGACAAGGACGCGCCATCTGTGGCGAGCAGGTTCTATCGGTACTTGATGAATCAGGGAGGAGAGCTGGATCCGACCAAAACAGCGGATGCGCTGAGAGTCGCCATCACCGCGCTCCGCAGGTCTGGAGTGCCTGCACATCGGTGGGCACCGTTCCTGCACGTCGGCATATAATTCGGTCCACATCGTACGTATACATTGCACATTTGGATACCGTGGCTGCCGTCTCCATCGCGACATTTGTATACCTAGACGTACGCGTTTCAAATCCCGTGTTTTTTGTCGGTTTCACCTCCTGGTTGCTTCAGTGGATTGGTAAGGAGGCTTAGAACTGTATGGTTAAAAGCATACGGTCAGAATTCAGAATTTGCATTCTGCGGCTGTTATCAGGGGCAGCTACGCGTCAGCAGCAATATGATCCCTAACCGACTTGGTTTCGTTATATATTAAGGCGTGTTAATCTTTAAGACGAATTGTGTAGGTATTTTGGAGACACTTGTTTGCCAACAAAAAGCTCGGTGAGAAGAAAATGGAATGCTACAGTAGTAAAGATGTAGGAAAGATGAACTCAGTCGGGACGTAACGACGCCGGGGATGAGGGCGTCTTCCAGGCTGGAATCGCGTGTGGGAGCTAATCTTCCCTAAACCCCCTTTTGTTAGATCCGCGCTATCTTAGTGGGAGGCGCTGACGCGAGATGATCGAGAACCTGACAATACAGGGTGTAGTGTAAGAATGTGAAAGGGGTGAATATAGTCTGCACTGCTGTCATGACATCACATTCCCCTTGTGGTGCGCAGCGGTCCGTTGACAAGCACAAGAATAGCTCAAGCCCCAATTTAGTGCTGGACACTTGCGATGGCCGTGCTTGGAACATGCGATGACGTTATGAGAGGGTTGACGATGGTTAGGCCAGTATCGCCGGTATATTTTGCTGAGGCTGGGGAGTTGCACCATTGGACCGCGCATATCTGCTGAAGGTAGAGCTGAGGTAGATGTTGGACAACGCCAGCCGTTCGGAAAGCGTCAACGCCGGGAGGGCACAGCTTGGTTGCTTCCGTTCATGGTGCCTTTGCTTGTGAATATTCGATTCCGCGCCCAAGAGTCTAGGGTCCGAATGGATGGAGAGGCACGTTTTACATTGTATTAGGCAACCACCTCCTCGACCGAATGGGCTATATGCTCAACGTGCCCGCCTCCCATGGCCCCCTTTCCTCTAGTCGACCCCCTCTTTCTCCTCCTACCTCTTACCGCACCCCATCCACACCCAAGAAGGACTGCCTCTCTAAACACCCTTCTTTAATTGTTGTCTCACCATCTTCCTACCGTTTTCTCACTGAACGGACCATAGTCAAGTCGATCCCTCCAGAACCCCCCTCGTTTTTGAGCTAGAAGACCTTATACCACCGTCAGCGTCGACCGCAGGCCTTTTCCCCAGGATATATCTTTCTTGTGTCTCCCCTACACAGTCTTTTTTGTCTCCCATCGTTCAACGAGTTTCGCAACCATGCTCTCAAGAACGCTTGTCCTTGGTCTGGCTCTCCTTGCCGTCGCCTCTGAAGACACCTCCGAGCTCCCGGCCGTCAAGAAAGTCCGGAGGAACAAGCGAAGCTGTACTGCCAGGTCATCCAATTTCACACTTACGGACAAGTTTCAGGGAACCAATTTCTTTGAGTGAGCATCTTCCCTCAGTCTTCTAAGCATCTACTGAGACCTCGCAGCGATTGGGACTTCTTCACAGAGTCCGACCCCACCCATGGTCTGGTCAATTATCTGGGTGCTTCGGACGCTTTGAATGCCGGTCTCATCAGCACCACGGCCTCCCAGGCTACCATGAAGGTGGACGACACTACCTCGCTTGCCTCAGGCCAGCGGAGGAGTTCGGTCCGCATATCCACCAAGAAATCATTCGACTCAGGTCTGATCATTCTCGATATCGATGCCATGCCACATGGTTGTGCAATCTGGCCCGCGTTCTGGACTGTTGGCCCAAACTGGCCAAACGGCGGAGAGATCGACATCATCGAGTCCGTGAACGACGCCACCAACAACCAGATGACGTTGCATACTGGGGCAGGTTGCACGCAGTCGAACAACAACGCTATCCTTGGCCAGGTACTAACCACCACATGCGACGCGAATGTGAACGAGAACTCCGGATGCGGCATCCACGATCCATCATCGACATCCTCTGGGGCTGGGCTTGCCCAGGCTGGCGGTGCCGTATTTGCAACGATCTTGGACGAATCGGGCGTCAAAATTTGGCGCTTTGACCGCTCAAATGTGCCAGCCGACATCAACAATGGCAACCCTTCTCCTGGCACCTGGGGCCCGCCGGTGGCACAGTGGAGCTCTGGAACGTGCAACCCATCTCAATTCATTGTTGAACAACAGATTGTTTTTGACATAACGCTCTGCGGTGACTGGGCAGGCAGTGTATACGGCAGCTCGGGTTGTCCTGGCACTTGCCAATCGCAAGTGATGGACCCGAACAATTTCAAAAGTGAGTGATATCTTCTAGTATTGGATTCCGGACCATAAGCTGATGGCGTCGTCAGCTGGTGCCTGGGTTGTGAATTACGTTGCTGTGTATTCCGAGTCGAGCTAGGCTCCTCGCTTGCAGTCATTAGCATATTCATGTACTTTTGACCGTTCAGCAGCCTGGGTGTTCTGGGTTTTCTCAGACTCGCGTTTCATTTCTTTGTTCATCTTTCATATCGAGCTCGTTCTCCATGTTCGTCGTGCCATCGTGTCTTGCCCTTCTTTAGTTCGCTGTGCGACGACGTACTCTGTCGAACATGCGCTGGATTGTTCTCGGCATGAGTAATGCAAATACCCGTTACACATTGAGCCCAAATGCACAACGTAATCACCTTATATGTACTAGCGAGAATGTAGAAACGAACCCGCAAGTGGAGACGTTGAAAGGATTCAGAACGGTGACGGAAGCGGCCCAAGGTAGATCCACTAGCTCGTGAGAGTAGGGTTCTTACCCAGTTCGACTCGGGATCAAAACGCTGACAGTATAAAGGTCATGGTAACTCCTTGGATACTTATTTGGATGGTAACACCATGGAAACATCTTCTTTCTCACTTTGACCCTTCTTTTCGGCTGGTGGCTGTTGGCACTTGGTGATTGAGAAAATCTTCTTTTGTCTTCTCTCTTGGTGGCACTCTTTTCCTTCTGACTTACATCCATTCTTCTGTCATTGGGTCAAGTTCTCCTCTGTGACCACTGTTGGAGATCAAGAACCTCTTGTTGTTCCTTTCATTCTTCTCTGCTCAGTTCTATATATTGGCAGATGTTGTCCAACCAGTCTGTTTCCGATTGTTTGGGCTCCAATCTTACCCAAGCAGAAGTACTATTTTGAGTGTTGTTGGATCTGTCCACCAAGGACTCTTGGGATCATACCATATCCCTCTCCTTGCCAGGTGTGTTGGAAACCTCCAGGGCAAGTGTAACTCTTTTCAGAGCACAATACTTCACTCAATTGTTTCTCTTTTGTAGTCTGCTCTCAATATCATTGTTTCTGCTGACCCCTCCCAGCTGGATCAGCTGGCTCCTCACCTCCACCAACTCATGGGTCCTTATTGGTGTACAACCATGGAATTGACAAGAGCTGATCACACATCTTCTTATGAGCCCCTCCTGTCTGATCCATCTGTGCATCCTATAATTGGCTCTTCCTCTTCTAAAGGGGTGTTGGATGTTGGTGCTTTATCCGTTGCTGTTTCCTCCCCCACATATGGTGATTCTCTTATGGCCAAGGCTTTTGTCTTGGTCCCTCCTTCTTCAGATGGACATAATGCATATGTAATGTTGCTCCATGATCTTTTGGTTCTCATATGATATGCTGTGGTCTAATATAGGAAGTCATTGGTTCCCATTCCCACTGTTGTCAATGCTGCTCCTTGACCCCTTTCCTCTGCTGTTATTGGCCCCCTCTTGTCTCTCCCCACACCATTATGTGAGGGGGGTCCATCACATTTCAGTGTCAGTGCTTTTGTACTCTTTGTTTGCACTCAGAGTCACTCATTTGATGTGTGGCTTCAGGTCTCCTCTTGTGTATGTTCTTCTGGTCCATACAATACTCTCAAAGTCCCATCTTTCAATGGGGTCCAGCCCAAAGGTACATTTGATGATTCCTGCCAGGTGGGTCTCTTTATCCTTAGGCACCCTGCCTGCTTATATGTGATGTTCAGGCCCCCAAGCTCTCCTGACAGATGCTGGTCTGATGATGTACCTTGTCCAGACTTGTCTTTTGTTCCACTTGATGGAATATCTCATGTTGGTTCATTGCACCAATCCCTTGCTGTTTCATGTCTTGATTCTGACCATGATGTTCTTCCTGCTCATAGGGTACATGTCTGCCATTAGGAATTATTTCCTGTCATTCATCTTCCTTCAGACATGATATTCTCTTCAGAAAGGCATGTGTCCCCTCTCACATTCCTTGACTACCCCCTTCCCCTCTCCTTCTTCCACTAGGCAAAAAGGGCAGTCCATGGGGCATGTCAATCAGCTGGACGTGTTGCCATGTAACTTCATATGTCTCTTCTTTTTCTCTCTCTTTTCCTTCTCTCACTATGGAAGGCTTTTGTTTGTGGATTAATATCCAGGTTTGACCTTGGGTTCATGACAGAAGATGGCTTGGTGGATTGGACTCGCATCCTGTCCATGGAGGAAGTCAAGGTCAGTACACAACTCCCTTTTTCTTTCCCCTTCAAGGAGGGGGGGTGGGGGGGTTTCTTTCTTATCATTTGGATTTTTGTTTGTAGGTCATCTCTTCTAATGGATGTCCTCCTTTTGGAGTTCAATGGGCAAGTGTTTTTTTTGCTCTTTTGTGTCTATGTCCTGGTTTCTCAATCTGTTTCCTGTTTTAGTGCAAATGTTGTGCAAAGAAGTTTCTTTGTCAGAAGACAGATTTAGTTCCTTTGCCACAACACCAATACTGTTTGGGTTCTCACAAGTACAGTAGAAAGTCTGGTTATGGTTGTGACCAATGTAGACCATGCAACATGCCTTGCTCCCTACAGTGAGCTCCATCATTCACTTGCTATTTTCCCTTTTTTCATCTCATATCCCTGTTTGAGCAAAACTGCCGGATCCTACCTCCAGCAAACCTGTCCTCCAAGCCTTTACACCTAAGCATGGAGACCTTTCCTCTTCATCAGGTGCCTCTCTACTGGAGGTGGATACACATTCTTGCAGTGAGCTCTATCTTGTTCAATTGATCAGCATCCATTCATCATCCTTCAGCTCATATTCCATCATATGTCCCTCCTAATGTCATGACTATGCTTCTGGGTATTGTGGATGATGTCATTGCCAGTGCACAGTGTGCCAGGAATGAATTGTTATCTATGGCTTTGCAACCCGGGCCTGATGCCCTTACTCACCCAGGTGATCTACTTATATCCAGTTTGTAACATGGTATTTTGTACCCTGTGAAGATTGTTTGTATTCAAGTTCACTGTGAGTCCGTTCCTGTCTGTTTTACTTTGGTCTGGTCTACTAAACAAAAATATCTCTTTCTTCCTTCACTGTGCCTCTACACTTTCACTCCTTATGTCTAGATGGTTTGTATGTGTGTGGTGGGTTGTACTCATAGTCAATCAATCAATTTTGTATGTCTAGGTTGTAATCTCATGTGTTGTCCATCCCCATGTCTCTGACATTTCTTTGTCCAAGTGTCTAAGGTGTTCATCTTCTATCCTAAGATATTCACTTGCATGTTGCATGAACAATTTGGTATCAAACCCTCAAAGTAGATGGATAGATTCTTGGCCACAGCTCCTCAATAGTGTGACGTAAGCATTGAATGGTGTTATGCTTCCTGTTGGCAGTGTCACAATATCTACTATTACCTTTGGTATGGTTTGCCCTTGTGACCAGTAGTCTGTGAATGCATATGCTGCTGTCATAGGAAGTTGGGTTCATGTCACTGTTGATGACTTGCCATTCAGCATTGTGATCTGAAATGTTTTTGTCATTGGTATGATTGGGACAATACCGTTTGGTAGTCCTGGCAGGGTTGCTGCCTTTGTTTGGTATAGCTTTACCAACACATAAGCTGGTGGAAATTTCAGATGGATCTTGCTTGAACTCCCATCAAAGGGTGCTTCCATTGCATTTGTCTTTACCATATATATGGTGCCTCTCGATCTGTTTGCCACATCGATTTCTGTCTGTACATTGAGGGTTACCATCACCTCCATGCCAATAGCCAATGGCACCTGTACAGAGAGCCCCCATTTGCCTTCCTTTTGTTTGCTGGTTTTGCACTTGGTCGCTAGTATATATTGTTGTTGCTTCATGAGAGGCTTGCCCTTTATTTTGTCTTGGGCATAGGAATACATCAATGGTTGCTTTGTCTCATGACACATCCTTCAAATTGCATGTTTGTTCCATAAAGTTTGAATGCTGTACTGCAGCATGACTAAAATAGCATTTTCCCACAGAGAATGTGTTTGGTCTACTGGATGTTTGCTTATATCCAAGCTCTTCAGCATCTCAATGTCTCCTTCTGTACAGTTCCCCATTTGAGCTCTCCATAAGAAACACATCCATATAGGATCTTCAATCTGGCATTGTTCCTTAAGAATCACAACTGTAGATAATTGCTCATAGATTTGCTGGCCTATCTTATCTTCTAGTGAGTCATACACCAAGTTGACTGGCATGAACAATGTGGAGTTTTGCTTTGCTGCCACTGGGGGAAACTGATGGAAGTCTCCTGTGATGATAACATTCAGTCTGCCAAAAGGTAAGTCAATAGGTGCATTTGGGTTGGTTGCCAGACATGCAGCAGTTATGTGAGATGATATTCTTGCTAGGAAGGACTTTGAAACCATGGAAATTTTGTCAATTATCAGATAATGGACTTCTTTCCATATCTTGGCCAGCTTGTCTGTGGAGAGATGGTGCTTGTTTGTTGCCTTTACTGGAATCATGCATATGCAGTGGAGAGTGTGGCCATCTATGAGAGAAGCTGCTATTCCAGTATATGCCCCTTTCAAAAGGGCATGTTGGTGAGTTGGTGAATTGAATAGCTGGCTGATAGTCTGTATCACCCTTGATTTACCTGTCCCTCCTTCTCTGTACATGAGAAGTTGTTTAGGTTGACCACCTCAGAATGTATCTTCTACATGCCTTCTCACAATGTCATAAGCTCTTCTTTGGTCTGGCTTCAATTCCTCTAGGTCTGCAGTGTTCAGAGTGTCTTCAATGATGTTTTTGGTATTGTCAGATGTAGCTATTTCTTCTTCAAGGAGTTGCTCAATGGGCTGAACTGTTTGGTAGGTGCTGAGTGATTGTGAGGTAGATAGCTCCACTGTGTAGTCTTTAAGACAAGTGTTTAAAGATTCCAGCCAACTGTTTAATTGTCTCATCTTGTCATCAGTTGCTGGCATGATTTCACATGGATTGCAGGGCCATTGCAAAAACACCTCCTCAAATATGCTGGTCACTTTGGTGATAAAAAAATGCTTCCTCTGCATGTTTTCTATCTCAATCAGAACCTTCTCTCATCTGTAGAGCAACTATATCTTCTTCAGTCAGTTTGTTGACGTATTCTTCCATATGAGTTGGTAAAGTTGATTCCAGAAGTTCTTCTATATCATCTTCCTTGCTTGCTCTTGCTGCATCTGTCCCAGGTGTGTCATTACTTCATTTGATCTTCTTTGGCTTTTGTGCAGGAATTGAAAGTTGCCAAGAATTCTCAAAACTGCTGGCCATGCCAGACTAAGGAAAATGCCAAAAGCATCCATCCACAATTGTCCATCAGGTAGGATATTGGTTGGGATTCTCCATGGCTTGAGTAACATCATAGAGAACCCACAATAGTAGTCCATTCCATCTTCAATATCATTTTGTGGATACTGTTGTCCATAGAAGCTCAGTAACATATTGTGCCCCTCATGACAAATCACGTGGCTTCTTGTGGAGGAGTGCTTGTATGATGGTAAATATTCAATTCTTTGGTTTTGGATCCTTTGGCTGTGGTTCTTGGGATCGAAGGCTACCTTTTCTTCATATGATTCTATGATGAATTCCAACAAGTTCCATGTAGACATTGCATTTCCCCTATGTCTGTATTGCTCAATTTGGTTGTCTTCTCCAGCTATATGTCTGGTTTCAGAAGGTATAAGTCATATGTGATCCTATGGCCTTTTTCAGCACTTGTTTGATGTCAAATATGTTGCTTTACCTCTCCACCTGCTAATTCTGTATTTTGTCCAGTGGAACTTTGCTGGTTGATAGACATATTGTTGTAGTCAGCTCCCTGTTGATCATTAAGGACTTCAGAGAGCACTTGTCCACCTTTGGTGTGTATTGGTTCTCTATTCTGTCTCTCAGTTTTGGTTGACATCAACTCCATTCAACATACCTGTAATTCAGTAGTTCTGGAAACATATTCAGAAGTTCCCATCTGATTGTGTTAAGATGTATCTTGACATAGTTATGGGATTGCCATATGTTGCCCCATCCCATAATGTAGGATACACATTGGCTGGCTGCTTTTTCCTGTTCTCAATTGAGTACATTGAAACATCAATATATCATGAGACAATTTTGTTGGTGTATATTGGCCATCAATCATTAATCTTCAAAGTGATAAACCATCCTTTGCACAAGAATGCCAGTTGTGTTGTATGACTTTCCTTGCTTCTTGAGTGTGTAACATGTGCAGTACCACATCACATCTTTTGTTTCATGCCCATTAGTCTGGAGTTTTATATTGTGGTTGCATCTCATCATTCTGGTGACAGATGGATTCCAGTTATTCAGATAACTGTTTTTCTGGAGAATACCCCATGTTCTGGTCTTGGTTATATACTCTGTTGCAGATAGCAGGAATGGTGCTCTCCATTTGCACTTCAGGTTTCCATGTTTGTCAGGACACAAACATGTATCGATGTTGCATGTATGGAGCTGGTAGTTCCTTGCTATACATAGTTCTTGCTTGTCTGCTGACTCCTTAGATGTCAACAAATTGGGACAGATTGGCCTGGAGTAGGCTATATCATTTTGTTTCTTGATAGCCATGATGTTTTCTGGCTCCAGTCCTGGTAGGTGTCCTCTCACCATTTGCCGAAGGTATTTTTGTGCCACTTGCTCTCTAAAAAGGCCATCTTGAAGAAGTTCTTTTGTCAAAACAGCACTGGGTGTGTTTGATAACCATATCAGGAAATGACAATGTAGTGTTCCTTTCCCTTGGGTTTCAACTGCTCCAAAATATGCCATTACTTTGCCCAAAATTCCTGCTGATTGCTTGATTTGGTGTCCTGTTTTGCAGGCCAAAAATCTTCCTCCCTGACTTGTGATGCACACACCTGTACCTCTGACTCGATCGACACAAAAGAGGCATCACAGCATTGACCTAGTAATATATTGGAAAAACTTGGCTGCTGTGTAAGGATCTTGCATGATGTTTTGGGCTCGCTTTGATGAGCTGGGTCCTACAGTGTTCATGAAGTGGTTCATGTTGATATCCTCCCCTGCAAAGACTTGTGCAAGGGGATCATGCAGATCATTGGGCATTATTGTAAACCACAAATTTGGAGGTGCTATGTATACTGCAGTTCTGTCAGGGCACCAGCTCATTGCTTGGTCAAGAGACATGACTAAGCCTTTATGACATGGAAGTAGCTGGTATACCTTGGCATGTGCTGGAACCTGCTGGAAGGATTGGATGGTCAGGTGACCTGCTGTGCATGGCTGTGCATGACCTCATATGACCTGATCACCTGACTAGGCTGAGTAAGCAAGATGTTCTAGCAGGTTCCACCACAGAGGTATAAATATAAGGCCTACTCTGCCTTGGGACTGTCTCTTCAGACTTGGTCTCTTAGGATCATCCACAGGTACCTATACTGTAGA